GGTACGCCTGAGCGAGAGGGAGCTCCCTGGGAAGGGGCGGGGTGAGCGGGAGCAGGTTTTGCTGGCAGGGTTTGGAGCGGGTCCTGGGCGGGGGGTGTCTGTCGGTCAGCGCTGGGGGCTGTGGGGAGGCTGGCTCCCCGCGCCCCGGCCGGGGACCGGTTTCCACCCCGGTAACCCACCCGGGGCCCTGCGGCGCGAGTGGGTCTGCAGATCTGTTCTTATCTTGAATGTGGCTGCCCGGAGGTTGAAATGCTGTTCAGTCTAAAAACTGACTGCTGTGAAGATGTATAAGGTGTTCTTCAGCGTTTTCACAAGTAAGGTGTTAGTTGAACAGTTCTGAATGTAATTTTAAAAATACCCAAATTTTAATTGGAGGAAGGTTTCTCTTTGCTATTTGGATGTGAAAAAACGTTCAGTAATGAACAGCTTGTATATCCTTTTATATCTAAGGTACTGAGGGATTTTTGTCAGGGCATTTTCTAAGAATTTTTGTTTCTGCTTTCAGGCTCTGTTTTCCCAATATAAACACAGACTCCTTTGGTTTCAACTTTTCCACTTGTAGCATCTTAGTGCCTTCCAGGTGCATTTTTGCGTCTGTTACTTTGAAACAGCCTTCTGAGCTTCAAGCTATGTGTTCTTTATAGGAATTACAAAGACGGAGAAATACAAAATGTAGAAGCAGCAAGACATGACGTGAAAGTTAGCTTCTGTTAATAATAAACTGGATTGCAGCTAGGAGCCTGGTGTCACTTGTAGTTAGGAGAATGTCTAACACATGAGAAGGTAACAATTCTTCAGCTGCACACACACAGACACCCCCCAGCTGGTCTGGCCTTCAACATAGCTCTCCACTTCTGTTGTGGATTTAACTGCACTCAAACATTTTGTGTTTATTGGTAGTTCTTGATGAACTACTGCTTATTATGCAGCCTATTAATTGTGTGATGGGTCTAACATCGATAAGTTTATCACTAACTTAGTTTATCAGGTTTCAGTAAACTTTTCAAAGTCCAGTGTGCAAAAGTTGCACAAGAACTAACGGTTACTTCTCTGCTGTTGAGTCTGAGCATGGTAAAAGAGGAATGAGGGCTTAATATGGAATGAAGAATTGAGATGTATGGGCTGCATTCCTGGTTCTGTTACAGCCCTGCAGTATGCTTTTTGGTGACCTATTTTTAATGTATTTTTGTATTTCCTTTACTGCATCCAGTTTCCAGTACCTTGAGATAGGTAGGTAGACAGATATGTAAAAAGGCTCATACGTGTGAGTGTGTGTGTATATGTATATATACATCTCATTAATGATATTAAACTTTTAAAAAGACACATTAGAGATACTGTTCTTGTACTAATCAACAGTCGTTTGTGTAAAGAAGATCTGATTAGCTTTTCAGTCCTTGTATTCAAATAGCATGCTTCTTAACACCATCTCTCTGATGGATAATGTTCTTCTAAGGTCATAATGTCCATCCAGTTATACACTTAGGTATATTGCAACTTGAAAGACTTCGGGCACACACTCAGATCTCTGCTCAGTTGGAGATTAAAGACTAGCTGTGATTGACCCAAGTTATAGGATACATCTGCAGTTAAAGTGTCATTGGGGTTTGTGTAGTTGAAGTTTCTCTGAGTTTCACTGATGCATTTGACTGCAGTAGAAGTATACCCTTTATCTGGTAAATTATTAACAGTCTTGGTGAATGGAGAATTCCACTGGTAAGTGTACTAAGAGAAGAAAGTTGAGGAGCAGAGAAGGGGACCCAGTGAGACTGCTGCAGATGTTGATCTGGCAGTGGTATCAGAAGGCTTCAGCTTGTTTTTTCCCCAATTATTGGTGATTCAGGACTATCCGAATGCCTTTGTTGGGATAAATGTTTTGTTATGTCATTTGCTTTATAATACGCTGTACAAGACAATCTTTTTCAAGAGAGCTCGTGCCTTCTTGTTGCATGGTTCTCTGTGCTTCAAACAGAAACAGAAGTTTGTGGTCTGAGGGCCTGTGCCTCAAACAAAGCAGGACATGGTAGGAAAGAAAATAAAGAAGTACATTTGTTTGGTTCATACACACGTTTTCTATCAACAAGACCGCATTAGCTAAAAATCTACTTCATTCACTAGTTTCTCTTCTTTGAATGGTGTAGTTTTGTGATTTGCTCCAGTTTTGTTAGTTGATGACAGAGAAAATAATATACACCACATAAGTTGTTTTACTATATCAGATAAGTTGATGGCTATTTTTTCCCCTTATGAAATTACAAGAGAATGTAGGACAGGGGTAAAAGGAAAGATGGCAGTGATGGCACTGTTTGGATTGCCTAACTGTAATCATTTTACTGAGTCTCTAAATTAGGTTGATCCTCTGTGAAGTCAATGGATTGAGCCAATCCAATTGAGTCAATCTCAATTAAGAGAAGAGACGCAATAAAATTGTTCTCTGAAAGAGTCCCTTTCTTTCTTCATTGACATTAAAGGGAAGCTAACCTCCTAATTTAGATACTAAAGGGTGGTGCCTAACTTTAGTTTGTGCAACTTAAGAGGCTTCTTGAACTGTCAAAACAATGCATTTTCTTGTGGAATGGGAAGAGATAAGAAAAACAATGTTGACACACCACAAACAGTTTCGAAAGAATTTTTCTCTCTTTTCTTTGCAAAATACTTTTAATAACCAGCTGAAGAGAAGTAAATTATGTCTCTTGCTTAATGTTTGCTAGGTAGTTTAAATCTTTGTATTAATCTTTTAATCTCTTTGTGGTAATTAGAGACATTAATAATTGCCACCTCTACCACAGCAAAAACACACCTGACATTTATATAAAAAATGTTTTGCAAATAACTTGAATTCTGCATTCTTCTGAATTAACCCAGCCAACAGGTTACTCGGGTTATTTGGTGAGAGGACAGTGATTGTTCTGGGAATGGGGTGATCAAGGTGGTGTGCTCACTGGCCAAATTTATGACTCTGGAGGAATAATGTGAGAGAACTAGTGTGCAGGGCTTCGCCTCACAGCTGTAGCTCATTATCATGGTGCCTGTTTGAGAAGAAGGTTAACTTTTCTAATAAGCCCTCTTGATTTTTCTTTTTTTTACTTTATTGCTCTGCAGCTGAGATGTAGATGAAAGTATTATCTGCCTCTCAAACTAGGATAGAATATTTATCTGGGCAGGTGCAAAAATGTTTAGTTACTCTGCCTCCCCTCTGCTATCTGCAGTGTGGAAGCTGTGTAGCTGTGTTTAGTGATGTGTTGCTGTGCTCCTACCTTGTGTCTTTGAGAGAAACAAGGTTTACTACTTCAAAAACAGAGCTTTACTAATGTAGCTGTGTTCATAGGTGGTCTAATCCCAGCTCTTCCAAAGCAGGAGCAGACTGAACATACGACTGTGTACAGACTTGTGCGTGCATAACCTCAGTCATTTATCTTTCTGAGATATTATAAACTAGTGAAGAAAATGTAAAATATGCTTTTGGATAGTTAAATGTTTTGATGGCGAAACATTAAACCTAAAATGTCACTTGTGTTTTCAGCCAAGCAGTGCTGGTAGACCGGACAATGTACATTGCAGGCCAGATAGGTATAGAACCTTCCACTGGGCAGCTTGTCTCTGGAGGGGCGAAGGAAGAAGCTAAGCAGGTATGATGTCTTCTAGCAATAAACTTGTAATGGAGTTGGCATGTGCTTAGTTAAACACGGACTTAGGAGAAATTGAAGAGACCTGGAGAGCACATTTCGCATCCTCCAAGATAAGGGAAAAGCAGGAGGAAGTCAGTCCATCCGAACCCTGTCGTTTTCCACCCAGACAACTTGGAGATCAGGGGAGGAACCTGTATTTCATATAGGAAAGTAGGAAAGAATCAACGTTTGCAGCAAAGGTTCAGACCCCAGTAAAAACCCTGGCTTTGATGAGGTAATAGGATGAGATGGGGCTGCATCATGCATTTACATCTAATGCATGGATGGTTTTATGTTTGTGGTTTACTAGGAGCTCCATTTTATTAATTTCTCATTTTGCTTACACACTGAGGACTGTTGAAGACTTGCTGGGTGAACTTTTAGTATGATACGAATGTAGCCAAGTTACAACTCATATTTACATGCTTACCTAAATACAACCCAGCTGATAGTTAAAAGATTTTTGTCTCATTTTTCATTAGGCTCTAAAAAACATGGGAGAAATCCTGAAAGCTGCAGGCTGTGACTATGGCAATGGTAAGTGTTGCTGTGATGGTGGCAAACAAGTAGTTTTTTTTAGCTGGATTTAAAAAAAAACCTTTAAAAAAAAAAAAGCTGTTTGCTAAACATTCAGTTGTTATCAATAGCTGGAAGAAACAAAAGGAATCATGAGTCTGGGTTAAAAAACAAAAGAACAATCAATACTCAAGTCTTTGCAATGGGTATCAATGGAACGCTGCTTTTCACCAAAAGTTTCTGCCTGTGGTACTAATATTTTAACTCTAACTGGGGAAGCTCAGGCATAGGCAGAGCTGCCAACTGACTACAGGCATTCTAAGCATCCTAGGCTTTGCTCCAGGTAAAAGCAGGTTTGTATCCATGCTGTTAATATTAGGTACTTTTAGTACTTTTTTTAGGGGGAGGTTTCTTATAGTGTAGCCAAACCAGGATTAATGTTGGCTTGGGCAGTCATGGGTAAAAGAGTTCTAGCATAGACTATATTTTCATGCCTTTTATTGGACTTTTTTGGCAGCGTATATTATATATGATATGATTTATTGCCAACAGGTGGCTTACAAGAGCTTTTTTGATCGACCTGCTTATCAGTTCTGTGCCTCTTGGAAGAATTTGGCTTAGAATGAAATTTAAAATGGGTGTTTTCAGAGCTAGTCAGAAATATCTAATTCCTTGAAGTTTTATTATGTACTAGGTATTCAGGTTTTGTAGGTGGTAACTCTAATTGTCAGTATCTGTTTGCAAAGCTTCTCAAAATGTTTAGAATACTCAGGAGAAATTTATGAAATAAAAGCAAGAAATGCACTAAAGATTTTCAACTTTTTATACGACTCGGAGGTCTAAAATAACTGCAGTTATGTAATTTCTAGTTGTGAAGACTACGGTTTTGATGGCAGACATGAAGGACTTCAATGACATTAATGACATATACAAACAGTGTAAGTGGATCTTTTGTTTCTGTTTTACCAGTATGGCTTGTGGAACAAATTATATTCACAGTAAGCAAAGTGTTTTAACGACTCGGATGAGGTAGTCCTAGATTCTTTGAGATTTTAGCAGAAATATAACATTTAAGAAAAGAAGTTAATTTTCAATCACAGCCTAATTTCTTGTGGATTTATGTCCTACCATCCCACTAACTCGCTGTCAAGTGAAGATCAGCTACTGATACCCTACAGGTGGATGATATTCCATGCCTCTCTACCTTGATAGACGCTGTGTTGTCCCCAATATAATTTGACTTTAGGCAACTTTCAAATGCTTAACTTCAGATTTTGTATCTCCATTTCTTTAAAGTCTGTTTGTATCTTTGAGTGATTTGTGGGTTATTGTTATGGGACAGGGCTCATTTTTTTTATACAAGGATGAGCCACACTGCTCCACTTAAGGGAAAAAAAAGAATAATGCTTGGTTAACAAAACTGAATGTAGACTGAAATAGGTGATTCCAATGAGCCATATTGTGCAGAAGAATTTGGGAGAGTATGCACGTAAGTTCCTTATTTGTATAGCTTTGGGTTTTAATTAGATAGCAACATCTGGTCTAGAGTGAAGTCTTTTATTTATGAGAACGCAGAGTCTTCTGCGTGTCGAAGTGGAATTGTGTGTGCATTTAAGCAGGGTAAAAACAAACCAGCTGGATGCTTAGCTACTTGTTGCCTCCTACCTATAGTTCAACAAAGCTGTTGTTGCTGTTCTTTGATTGTGAGTTATTATCCTGCCTTGTCAGCGCAGGATCCTGAAATTACCATTTCTGAGCTTAGTGTTAACTCTCACTAGTAAAATTTTCATTTAATTATGCAAATTCCTTGGAAGTGTTCTAAGTCAGCTTGGATGTGGCTTTGAGGAACCTGATCTAATGAAAGATGTCCTTGCCCATAGTGGGGGATGGGTTGCCCTAGATGATCTTTAAAGGTCCCTTCCAATCCGAACTGTTCTATCATTTATAAAATCAGCTCTTACATCTTGACCAATGCCCTTCCCTACCTCTTGTCCTACCCTGTTCTTTTAATATCTTTGAGTGACAGGCCTAATTGGGAATGGAGGAATAGGTCAGGGGCCTGTTTTTCCTCTGCCTGCCTTGATATGGGTAAGGTTGGCCCTCTGACTTTATGCAAATCTTGGATCTTTGCTCATGACTCTCATGGCAGGGGCTTGTTTCTCCCTCTTGCTCTGTCTGAAAGAACCCTCTCCCACTCCCTGGTCTTTGCAATTGGATGATCACCATTCTGATGTAGTCTTTCAGCCAAGTTGGTGGTAAGGCCATGTGGTGTCAGCCGAGTGCAAGTTATCACTGGCCACTAGACCACAACTGTAGCTGGCTTCTTGGTGATGAATGGTAGCTTGCTGAGATGTTAGAGCAGTCGGTGAACAAAACAAACCAAGAAGGGGGAAATGATAGCTGGCACAGATGATTGTTTGTCTTGTAGCCTTGAACCTGAAACTGTTCCAATGACTGCATTTCATACAGATGACTTTGAACTGTGTTTTATCAAGGTGGATGTTTCTGTTTAAATTACAGTTTTCAAGACAAACTTCCCAGCCAGAGCAGCTTATCAGGTTGCTGCTTTGCCAAAAGTAAGTGTCACTTTTCTGCCTAGAAGAAAAAAATAATTTTCTGGAACTTTTTACTTCTCAAACATTCTGACAGCTTTTCTTATTCTGAAATAGCTTCAATTGCAATTAATGAATAATCTGAAGTATTTAGTTTCTAAGTATACTGGTCTTTTTCCCACACACAAGAGATGTGAGGGTGAGAGACATTTTTGTATGATGGAAGGTGGCTGCAACACAAGAAATAAGGGGTTATGTTAAAGAAGAGTAAAGTGAATTTTCAATATTACTTTGCTAAATCAGCAGTACAACTGAGTCACATTTGAGGAGGATTATACTTCTGTTCTTACAAGGTTGTGTTATACATCTAATTGCTTCATAAAATAGATATGTTAAATTCCTAATATGTTTCTTCATTGTTTTTTCACAGGGTGCCCGAGTTGAGATTGAAGCTATTGCCATCCAGGGACCCCTCCAAGATGCTTCAGCATGACTATAAATAGAGACTGAATATCCTACAACAGCAGTTCTAGATTTAATACTTCTTCCTTACATCCTGTTCCTGCAATTGACTATCAGCAGTTACATACAGTTGAAATCACTAAACTTACCGAGGGAAGGTGCTTTCTTCTGGATTGTGGCCTTGGATTCTCTAAAATATGAGCTTACAGTGAGTTCTGTGCCAGCAAACCCTGAAACCTTGGGGGGTCCTGCTAAAATTGTTTGAGCTTGGTTGCAGGACAGGGCCCTTACTTTGTGATGGCGACTGGATATTCAGATATTAAAGTACACGTTTGGGTGAATGTATGACAGTTGTAGTATAGGTGATCTGGACACAGAAAACTAATGATTTGTAATGGTAGGGTTTTAGTAATAATTTTAAATAAGAAAAAATGACAGAAATGGGAAAACAGAACACTTGAATTCCTTAGCATATGTCTTCATTTCTGTGTCTTGGGGAATTTTACTGTATTTGTTTCTGAATTGTCTTAGATGCTTTCTTTGCAGAATAGATTACTGTTGGTACTTGCATTTTGTTCATACAGAAGCAATTGCTTAAGAAAGTTAATATTAAGTTCAGAAAGAAGAAAATTGTGCTTTTTTGAGGCAAAGTGCTAACTTTATAAATAAGCTGTAAATTAATCTCTACCTGTAACCTTTTTCATGATCTTTTTCATAGTAATTCAACTTTTAATCTTTTGATTAAAAAAAAAACCTACAAAAACCCATACACTAAAAATCCTGTTTAATGAGAATAAATTATAATTGCATCTGTAAAACTGTGCTTGTCTATTCTGGGAACAACCTTTTCTTTTCCTGATTATGCTTTGATACTCAATTACAAGAAAGTCCCTATCTTGCGTTGCATATTCAATAAAAGATAATTCAAAACAAGAGAATAGGTTTATTATCTATCTGTCTCCTAATAGCTAAGGATGAAAATCAGCCTCCAAGATAGGAAACTTTCAGCTACCTTGGCATTACAGTTCTTGGCATTTTTCTCTCTGCCATTAAGGACAGAAGCGTCTGCTTCATGGGGTGATTAAGCAATATTGAGAAGTCAGACTGGTGATGCTGGTAATTTATCCCCTCCCTCTGCATTTATTTCTAACCAAGCAGAAATGGATACCGTGTTTTTAAGGAACTAGTTTGAAAGTTACCTCAGCTACCTCATGGTAGAATTGATTCCCTGACTTCCCCACAGCCATATGATGAAGCACAGTATTGGTTTATTCAGGCGGAAATCAGCAGAAGTTCTCTTCTGTTGTAGTCTGTCCACCTCAGCATCTTTGTTTTGCTCTCTTCATAGAAGATAGTCATCCAGTGACATATGGGATGCTGCTGTCACTGTATCTTCACTTTCTTTGTGTAGAAAGTAAATATAGCTATATACAGCAGCTTGGAGAATGTATCAGTGCAGTGGCAGAAACATGTACCTGCTTTATCAATCGTACTGTGAGAGGGAGTGCTGTAGGCTGCTCCTTCCAGAGGCTGCTGTTTGTACGCCGGAGTGCTGTGACCGAGCGCTTCACTATCTGTTTCTAGTCCCATCTTGTGTGATCAAACTCACCCAATTTTGGTAAGCCACAAAACCAGCAGTGTAGCAAGGAGAGGGCATAACACTGGTTTGCCACAGATCAAGTCACAATGCTGTGGGTTCAGCTGTCCCAACAACTCGAATCCCAACTTTAGTTCTCCTCTGTGTGTATCACTTGTCTTCTGTGTATAATGCCTACTGATGATTATCTCATATACTTTGGTTAATGATTTTCATGTGGTAAGCATGCAAGGAGAATGCAGTCTGGCAGCACTGTGGTGCTGTCTACCTTTGCATGGAACGTGCAGACATTGCCTTGTCTGAAAATCCCTGTGTTTAATACCACAGCCACATTGTGTGAATCATCTTCCATCCTTGGACAAACTGTGTGTCCCGCTTGTGGTTTCTTACCTTCCTGCTTGTCTGCCAGGCTTCCCAGCTCTTGTTACTTCAGTTGCACTATTGCAGTAACTACATTTTGTATTTGTCATGCATTCCTGGTACCACTTTAGCATACACCAGGAAGGCAGTTGGAAGTTGTGAGAATGGTCAACCCTACTTACCCATTCTAGATGAGGTATGAAGTGGCCATTTCTCCTGCTTTTTGCTGAGCTTGTAAATTGTATCCTTATAGAAAGAAGATTAATAATGAGGTTGTCACAGCATGTATGTACAGCTGTATAGTGGTTTTTTTTTTACAGTATTATCTTGCTTTCCCTTGACAAAATGGGAGATATTTATTGTATTGGAAGCAAGATACTGTTTTTGGTATTTCAACCTGAACTTCCAAGCAACAACCTTTAAAAAGTGCCTGGCCTTTATGCATACAAACTTTGCACATAAACTTTATTAGTCTTGGTTTCTCCTCTTGTTCTCCTTGGCTATGCTATTGATGTCTTTTATGGTCTACAGCTCTGACTCAAGAAGCAACTGCAGCTAAGAAAAAACATGACCAGACTTGTTAGGAAGGAGCTAGTAGTAATATGAATATGATTTTCAAGGAAGCACAGAGCAAACATTGCTTCAGTTTGTCAGTTAAGAATAATGTACTTAAACAGATTCCTGATTTATGTTTGTGTTTCTCCGTTACAGCTTTTCTCAGCTATAATTACTCTGTTGGAATAGACATCAACTTACTCGTAGCAGATTTAGTTAAAGTTCAGCTTCAGCAGATTTCAATAGAGTTGCCTATGAGCTAAGTTCAGCCTTGTATAATCGCTATGGTTATCCCTTCACGTTATTCTCCACGGCCTTACTTGTGCCATGCTGCCTCTCTGCCAACCTTGAACCTAACACTAGGTGGCAGTTTGGGGTTTTTTTTATTCTTTGGCGTGTGCTTGTCCATTTGCTGATACAAGTCCTTTATACAACTTCCTTTGGGTGTCTTCCCTAGTACAAAGGAATGTGAATATAGTATTGCTCTCTGCAGTAAGGTACCCTCTGAGACTGAAGTTTGAAACACCTGAAAAAAATGCACGCTCGATGCAGTTAACAAGCCACAACACATTATTTCCAGTAAAAATGTTCGTATCAGTAACTTTTACCCTTGATACCCTTCTCATGCCTTCACTCCTGCAAAGGTGCTGTAAGTAGGTGCTGTTCTGCAAAAAGTCAGGAACTAAAATCTACTTTTAGCTCTATGATTATTTACCTTTTAGCTGGAGACCAGTTTCAGGGCTTCTTGAATATCTCAGATCTAAATATGTATTCTTCAGGTACTGGAATTCTACAATAACTGAAAAAAACTGTCCTATTTACAGCTATAACAAAGCAGTTAACATAAACAATCAGCCTTCCATAGAGATGTTTAACACTTTTATTGTTAAGCAGAGTTATATTATTTGATTCTATTCTTTAAGACAAAAACGTTAAGCCACGTAATTTTCCAAAATGAAAAGCAAGTACTGTGGGTATCTCTTAGGTCTTAGTTCAGCAATATACACAAACATTTAAGAAATCCAGTTTTAACTAGAGCTAAGTTAATCTTCGCTTTTTTTGTTTGCTAGACTGAACCTCTAGCATGCAAAATATGACGTTGCAATTCAGCTTGTAACTTTTAAAAAAACCCAGTAAAACAGGTCCTCTATTTCTATGAAAGTAAAGCAATAAATTTGCATGTTCTACTAAGTGTTTAAGTAGCATTTTTTTTCTCCAAAAGATTATATTCTCTACAGATTAAACAATGCAAAAATAAAGCTCAGTACACAATTTTAATAAAACTTTGTATTCTGTTAAAACATATAGCCAAACTTAAACTGCCCCAATGGTCTGTTACAGGTACCTGGCTCTTGCTGCAGTTTTTACTTGAAAGCGGCTCTGCATTGAGTGAACGAGCCAGCCATAATGCCAAGTATCTTCTGTGATCCTGACACAGTGTGCATAGGTGTCTGCAGAGAGCTGACAGGGTGCAGATTTAGCCTCTTCTAGGGCTGTGTCTATTGGTAACTGAAACAAAATTCCTACCAGAACTTTCACGTTAGCATGCAAATCGAGTTTATTCCTACCAGTGTCCTTCTCGACACTCCCTGCGGCATGGAATGATTACCTCCACCTTCGGTGAAGTTAAAGGCTGAAAATTGTCTAGCTTTCAGTAAACATTTCTGAAGATTGTTTTGTATTTTGATTATGTTAAAAAAAAACAAAACAAAATGAAGGTGAAGTTTATTGTCCTATCTCTGGAGGTGTATCTTGTAAACACAGACACTGCAGCATATCCTCTTCTCAGCCTTTAACGTGAGAAAGCTCTTTGATCCACAGACCAGTTTCTGCCCTTGGCAAACCTCTGTGACATCCCAGGTTTGCAGAGACAAGTAACGGCACATATTTTAGGGATGTTCAGCATACACCTAGCAGCCAAATTCTGATCTTACGCTAATTTAAGTGATTAACATCTCATGTTTATCACAGCATCAGGCATATTTCATCTTTTAGAAAGGAAAAGGAAAAATAGCTTTCATTTGTTGTAATCATAGAATATGTAAGGACTGAAGATGACTGAGAAGGGCTGATACTGTTAAGACATTGACTGGCTTATACTACTCCCGTTTCCATTAGCATTGCTTAATGACCTGAAAAAGTTGAATGGTGAGGAAAGGAAGTATACTGTCACCTGTTTTCCTCGTTACAACAGTGGTAGAAAGAGTGACTGAGGTGAGCAGGTTATCTTGGCTCCCATGTATCTTTGTATTTTATTTCCAAGTGCAGTCTCCTCTCTTGCTATTAATACTACTGATCTCTGTCACAGAACTCCTCTTGGTTTATGCTTTTAAATTGTTCAGTGTAGCTGGTCAGCCTGCAACTCGTGGCCTAAGGTGCAATGTGCAAGTAGTCAGCATGGCCCCCTGTGCTGATTTCATCTCCAGTGTTTGGGAGCAAGACAGTGCTTGCACCCGTGCTGGTGGCTGAACCAAATTCCCAGCTCACCGGAGGAAACCAGCCACCTGAAGGAGCTGACG